CCCCAAAACCCCAAAACCCCAAAACCCCAAAACCCCGCGGGGAATAATTATAATTGAAAGCAAATATGTTTAAGATCTTTAAGGGGTAAACAAGAATGGTTAGGGGTTGAGGGGGTTGAGGGGGAAGAGTGGGGGATGTGGAGGGATTTAGGGGTTATGGTGGAATAGGTGCTGAGGGAAATCTGATGTTAAGAAATCGATTAAGAGGAAGGTAAGCAATGTTGTAATTTGTTTAGAGCAAGAAGGAAGGGAAGATTAGGAGGAGTATGAAGTGTAGTAAGGGAAAGAAGGAGGAAAATAATAGTAAAGATAGTTGATGGTATTAATTATTTAGAGGCGGTTAATTGTGCAATCTGTTTGGAAAGCTTTGATAAACACAAGCATAAATTTATTCAAGCTCAATGCGATAAGGCATTAGAAGCAATTAATGAAGAACTTAAAAGAGAAGAACTTAAAGGAGAAGAGCAAGAGGTATACTATTGCTTTTATTTATTATAGCATGAAGCTATTGCTGTCATTTATCAGAAGAACAGTGAAGATGTGGAAGAAGATGAAGAAAACAACAGACTTTCTTGCCAAGATAAGTTCAACAAGAACAGAAGCTTAGACCTTTATACTATTAAACAAACTGATTTAACTCAATCAAATGATAAAGTTTTGGAAAACATGGAAACTGATGGAGTAGCCATTCTGGTTGAATGCAAGCATGTATTTCACAATACCTGCATCAATTCATGGCTTAAACAAAATAATACTTGTCCAATTTGCAGAAAGGTTAACTTTTACTTTTGACAACAATTTAACATCATTTAGGAAATTTATCCAACAAATGATCACAGTTTCTTACGCGCAGCTCTGCTAGAGCTTCTTGCTATTAACCTTCTAAATGAGGACTCTGATCTCCAAGCCATTCAAATCGGATTTATCCCAGATTCCCAACCCAGCTCATCTGCTCTCTCACCCCAATCATCAAGCTTCGATTTCACACCAGATATTCCTTCTATATCCTCCTACTTAAGTCTTCCAAGCCCTCCAAGTCATTCTACTCCTCCGAGTCAGAGTTTCTCTATTGACCCATATTCTCTTTCATCAGATCTATCCTCGTAATAATCAAGCTATAATTTGTTCAACACAAATCTGTCACATAGGGGTTTTGGGGTTTTGGGGTTTTGGGGTTTTGGGGTTTTGGGGTTTTGGGG